AATGAACAAAAAATAGTTTACTGCATATACTAAGCGAAGAAGAACTAAACAAGATTTGTCAAGTTAAAGAAAAAATAGTAAAATTAGAATTGCGATTGGAAGAAAATGAGCAATTACAGTCTAGTGTAGAAATATCTTCTAATAATTAAAATCTCCTTACCACTTACTTCTTTTTTTAAAATTAAATCTTCTTTACTCAAACAAGAAGCGAAGCATTTTCAGCAAGATTTTAAATAAGAAAAATCTTTATGAGAAACCATTACTAAACGATTAGTATTGACAAAACTGTTAGGATAAAATTCACTCTGTAAACAAGGAGGACGAGGAGCAGTAATTTTATTTTGACTAACAAAATTAGCATTTTGTTGATTATGGTTAGAAGTTAGCGGAAAAAGAATTAACATTTTTTTCTCTTCATCTATTTTTCATAATAAATAATACCTTCAACCAGTTAAATCGTCTACTCCATCATCATAGTTAGTAGCAAATTTGATGATTTGATTAGAATGAAGAGTAATTGCTGCCATAAATTTAACTTAGTTCTACTTCGCGGACTATATGCCCCAAAATATCGTGGTAAAAATTTTTTACTTCTTCATTGATAATCATGCGGTCATCATCTTCTTCTAAACGTCCTTTTCATCTTTCTCTTCAAGCAATATCATCATGAGAAAAAGTTTCTAAATCTTTATCATGATAATTTTTGAAATAATAAAAAATCTTACTAACGAAGTTTTTTCGCTCAGAATCCACATTAATTTCTTCTGTTTTCAATAACTCTCGATATAGAGAAAAGAAATTTTTATAAACTGGGTAAACAACGGCTCCTCACTGATAAGCTCGTAATTCTTCAAAAAAAAGAGGTTTGCCATATTTAGCGTAATGAAGCATATAACAAATATGTAGCATTTTATTTAAACGAAAATTACCAATAGTGGGAGGGTCGGTTTCTTCTTCTTTTCTCACAGTCATTTTTCCGTCGCAAAAATATTCTCTCCCTTGGTCAAAAGATAATAACAATTTAGATACTTCGATAGCTGAAATAGATTTACTTTTCATTACCTCCATAATATCTAATTTTAGCATTTTTTCTCTATGCACACCTGATTATTTTTCTATTTTACTCAAATTGGCTAACTCTTTATTTAAATCAAGTATTGTTTGATTTAGTGTAAAGTTGTATATAATTGCCTTTAAATATTTGATAGAAATGATGAGATTAAATACGCGTCTCTTTACTTAGTAAGCAAATTCTTCTGGCTTGCATTCTTTACAAAATAACTTTTCCGAACCACTTAACAAAACTAAACAACTAATACAAGTTGGTTTTTGGCAACTATCGCAAGTCTCTAAATAGTCAAGTTTTTGACAATGACGGCACAACTCTTTCATATTTTTTCTTTTTTCAATAACCAACTGTTTGCCAGTCATATTTTTAAATAAGAATTTTATGTTTTCTTATACAAGGCTAAAATAAGGGCTAATTAATGAACACTACCTACTAATTTCTGATAAGTTTTTCAATTGCGGTATTTTCGGGGACATTTCTCATGGCGAAAACTTTGGATAGAAAGTAGAACATTAGCATTATTTATCTTATTGTTCCGAGAAGCAAGAACTAAAACAAAATTATTCTCCTGAATATCTTTTTCGGTAAACTCTTTCTCACAAACACCACAAAAGGAATTTTCTATGGTCATTAGTAGCTTCTGAGATTGAACGCTTTGCTTGGGAATTTCTAAATTAGTAAGTAGTCCAGTCATAATATATTAGATTTTTAGTAATTTATTTCTAAATTCATCATACTTATCATGTCAAATTTTATCATGTCCTTTTCCGGGATGAGGAGTGCCACAGCGGGAACAATGGCGAGAAAACAGAGTAGAATTAGGATTGTAGTCAGGATGAAAACGAACCTCATTAGCCGCATGGGCAAACTCATGAGGAAGAGCATCTTTGAATACTTTCCGTTTTTGTAAGACTTGACGAGAAAAAATAATATCAATTACTTCATCACTAGGTATTCAGAGACGAGTATTACTGTATTTTCGAGAGTCTTCCAACTCTTCCACAAATCTAATCTTTATTTTTTGCTTAGGAAGTAATTTTTTTACGAGATGATTAGCCAATTTTCTTTCTTCCATAAATTCTTCTTCCGAGATATCTTTGTAAATATCTTGGAGGACTTTTTTGACACCACTTCAATGACAATTCAGACAATTTCAAATCTCAGCTTGGAATTGCTTTTGCTGACAAAGGTCTATTGTTAAGGGATGGCTGCAATTAGGACATTTTTGCTGGTTCATTTTAATTAATTCATGAGTTTTATTTCTTTTTCTTGAACTAATATTAATTTGGGTTAATTTTTGAGAAAGGCATTAAAGGAAAATGTTTTTTAATACCTACCATGCTTTTTAAATTGTAATTTAGCATAGGGATTACGATAATAAACTTTGACAAAACATTTTTTATCATCTTTTTGAAAGATACCAATTTTGCTGATAACTTCCGGCTGTCAAGGAATATAAACTGAGACGCTAATAACTTGTTCTTCTAAATAAACGATAAAAAGTACCGTTTTAGGATTAACTTCTTGTCCTTCTTTTACTTCGCATTGTAATATTTTTCCCAGCGGCATGGGATTTTTTCTATCAACTTGAATATTTATTAATATTTGCAACCCTTCTTGATTAGTGATTTGGAGAGCATAATTAGGATAGATTTTGCTAATAACACCGCGGAGAGGACTTTTGATTTTTCAACCTTTTAAATCGCAAAAATAGTAAGCTTTTCCCACCAATGATTTTTCATTTTTTTTGCGAATTCGGCACTTGATGGGTGGGGAAAGGTCTTCTCGGTATCAGCCTATTAACCAAAAAAAAAACTTTTTTAGTTTCGTCCAATCAATTTTGAACTTCATATAAAGATTTTATTATTATCAGTGCCTAGAAAGAAATTTATAAAATTAAAGAAAATAACCATCGTTACCAAGATATTTATTTTCCATTACCATAACTTGTAATTTAGCAAAATCTTCTACTGTATAATATAACTTTATATTATTTCTTGCTTCTTCTCTTTTGAATATTTTTATTACTACGAACTGAAAGGACAAAGATAATTATTTGACAAGTTAAGAGAATAGCAAAAGAGAAAATAAATGAAAAGGGTTTTTCTTTTGAGGAAGCAAAGACCGCCAAAAGAGTTAATAAGAATGATGAAAGGAATGTGAGATAATTAATAATTGCTTTAATAATTGATACTTTTGTTTTTCATCATTCATTTTCTTTTTGTGTTTTAACCAGTCATTTTCGATGACATAAATGACACATAATTAAATTTGTTGACTTGCTTCCACCGTCAATATTTCAGCACACCGAGACCTCATAATTTTTTTTAGTTGTTACAAATTGGTTTACAACATTTGTGACATATAGCAACAATCTCTTTTTTTATTAATTCATCATCTTTTTTAACACAGTTTTCGCAAAATATTGTTCCTTTGACTTGAATTTCTTTTCCTTGATTTATCTCTTTATAGCATTCGCTGCACAGCATAAATTTATTTTTTCTCTCTTATCTTACTAGTACTACTACCACCCGCACCATAAACAATAATTCGCGTAAAAAGAAACCAAAAATCGTTAATAATCCTAAACCTAATGAAGTATCAGAAGGGACGAAAACCTCCTAGGTCAATACTTTGTCAAAAAACAACTACTTTGGTGGTGATTTCACCACAAAATTTAAAGATGGCTAACATAATAACTTAATTTTTAAATAAGCAATTGAGACAGATATTGTATTCTCCTAATTTACCACCAAAAGACTGCAAAATAATGTAAAATCATGACAGTTGAGAACTTGAGTTGTTTATTCTGCTTACTTGCCGGGTTTAGTGCAATGCATGTCAACGCCAAAATTTAAATTACTACTTTTCCTAAAATTAATTTCCGCTTTTCCTTTTTAATTTCTCTATTTCTTTTTCTAACTCTTCAATTTTTTCTAATTCTTTCCCATTTTTCTTTTCCAGTTCCTTAATCCTTGACTGATGATTTCTTTCGTTCGCTTCTAAAATTACTTGTTGGTGATTGATTTTCACAGTATAACCCAAAAAAAGACCAACCACAACTACTACAGCAATTCCAAAGAAAAGTGCCACAGCAATTGCTACATGGCAACAATTAACACCTTTATCTTTTGACAAGACTTGGTCTCTATTTCCTCTAATTTGTTTCTTTTCCATGATTTTCCTTATTTTTATTTCTATATCAAATTCATCCAATTAATCCTCCAACCACAACAATCACTACTATCACTAAAAACCATATCCAACCTGAACTATTGCCTTTTCCCTTTCCTCCGGGATATAAATCATTTTCGATAGTTTGGAGAAAGTTTTCAAATAATTCTTTTACTTCAGGGTTTTGCTGTGCTTCGATATTTCTTTTTAATTGCCCTTTTATATTCTTATCTCATTCATCTCGGCAGGCTTTTAAACCATGTTCTTGGATATCTTGCTGAAAGTCTCTTCTTAAATCTTCTAAAAAGCAAGGAAAGCAATTGAAACCACTTGCGAAACCTGCTTTCATGCGAACTCCTTTAAGAGTAATTCAAATAGTTTCTTTATTACATTCACCACAAAACTTTTTATTCTTACTCTTATTCTTGTCGGGTAAAGGTTTGCTTTTAAAAAAATTCTCACAAGTCGCATTTCTACAAAGCCAAGAACCCTCTCCATTACCACCACACTTGGGGCATTTGCTCTCTCTCTCTCTCTCTCTCTCTCTCTCTCTCTCTCCATTGCTGTTATGTAATTGCTAATGTTAAGATTTTCATTTTTTTCTATCTTTTTGCTGTTATTTATTTTTTGCAACATAAGTTTTTTAAAATATTATTATTGTTGTTTTTTAATCTCTTTTTAATAATTTTCTTACCTTACTCATATACATGATTTTAATATTTTTAGACTTGGATGAATTTTTTTCTTTTGATTTTCTGATCTCTCCTTTTTAGGAGATAAAGGCGGTAATTATTATTATAATTTGGCCTTAAAACCACCCAACTTTAATTTCAGAAGTTTAAGTAATAGATATGGTGGAAAATAAGAAAATTAAAATTAACACTTGAAAAGGCACTTTAACTTTGGATTTATTAAAAGCTCTCCAAGAACTTAAAGCAAATGCTAATAATAATTCTCATTCTCAATCTAATCAGCGAACCCTTAATGCTAATTATCAATCAGAAATAAAACCAACTAAGGACAATAATAACTTATTACTGCTAATTCCGGTAATTGTCGGCTCTTTATTAGTTGGTTCACTATTTACTTATTTGTGATTGAAAAGAAGTAAAAAAAACACTAAATAATTAAGGAAAATAAAGAGTTGAGTAAAAATAATTAATAAATGGCTCAACTTTTTAAAAAGCCCGACCACCGCCGACGCTGGCGAGGCTATTGAATTTACTTTATACGCCAAAGAACATATTCCACCCGAGAACAAACCATTAGACTGAATTCACCTTCATTTTAAAGGACAGACCGGAGAAATAGAATTATATTTAAAAAATGGTTATCCGAATTACCGCATAGAAAAACAATGAGGCAAAATTGCGGATGAGGAAAAAACTTTAATAGGGAAGTTTGTTAACGATAATTATTGGGATATTGTGGCAAAAATACAAAAAGACTTAAAAGAAGTAGGAATTGAATGAAACAGAACCTTTTAAAATAATTTATTATGGTTAACAATAGATTAAAAGAAATTCAACAGTCAAATAAGCCACTAATAATTAATCAAGAACAACCAGCCAAAATTATTAGTTGCGAAATAAAGAAAGGAAAGTTAATAACTCGATTAGACGATGGCAGGGAAGTTATTATTGAGGTTAACTTGCTAACTAAATACGGAATATTAGAGGAGGATACTAAGCCCGAACAACTAAAAAAATACGAATTACAAAACGAAGGAAGGTATATTCATTTTACCGAAACTGATGAAATATTACCTGCTCGGATAATTAGCAAAGGAATATTTGCTTCTTGTGAGGAAAGCAGAGAAGAATAATAAACTAAACAATAAACTCCGTTCCCTGGGGAGAAAAAAAACTAACTACTTTATTATTCCCCCGTTCATTAGTCTCAAATTCTAATTCTACTTCTTTTATTTACTAAATCACTCCAACCATCTTTTACTGCTCCTGAGAAGCAAAAATAGGCATTGTCGGTGTCTTTATCAACAATTAGATAATAATCCTTAAAATTAGCATCCTGTTTCTTTTGGATGGTGATATTTTTCAAATTAGTAGCAGACATATTGTTATTTTTATATGTCGCCACCAGAAAAATATTCACTAAATACCAAACAAAGCGGGGAAGCCTTGGAATTATTAAGTAATTTAGAAAATAATTCAGTTAGTCTCGTGTTCCTAGACCCCCAATATGAACCCGTGCGGAATGTTTTGCGGACTAATTACCCTCTTTACTCTCAATCAGACTATCAGATATTAAGAATATTAGAGCAAGCGGAAAGAGTATTAAAACCCTCAGCGTTTTGTCTCTTGTGAGTAAATAAAACTCTGCTCGGTAATGATAGAGTGCCGTTATGATTATTAAAAACTCCTTCTCTTAAAATAGTGGATTTTCTGGTTTGGCATAAAAAAAATACTCTGGGATTAGGGAATTGGTTGCGTTCTAATGCCGAATTTTGTTTCCTAATTCAGAAATCACCGCAGAGCGGGAAATTATTTAAAAATAGGTCGTTTGGTAATGTCTGGGAGGAGAATGTTTTGCCACCTAGTAAACGAAAGCATCCGCACCAAAAACCAAGAGAGTTAATCAAGTCTTTAATTACCGCTACTACCGAAAAAGGAGACTTAATTGTTGATCCGTGTGCGGGTTCTTTTATCGTGTTAGAAGTTTGTCAAGAATTAGAAAGGGAGTTTTGTGGAGTTGATTTAACTTTTAAGGATATGGAGAAGTTTAGAAAGGAAAAAATACTATAATAAAATTAATTTATAGTTAATATTAAATTAAAAAAAGTATATGAGACATCATGGTAAACAAACAATATCTCAAATATCATCTAGTCCCGTGCCTAGTAGGCACAAAGAATTAGAGAGAATAAGCGAACAACAAAAATAAGTAAACTTCTCCCTTTCGCACTAGCCAAGACTTTTACTAAAAAGCAAGAGCCTAGACCAGCGACTTTCCCAGAAGTAAAATTGGGTAAAGTAGTATTCTAATTAGGTTATTGGAGTTTTTCTAATAATCTTTGGATTTGTCGTGATTTCTTAACCAGTTCCACCATTAGAATATTAAAGCCAAAGAAAAGTTATGTATAAAACTTTCTGACAAAGGAAGTAGATAAGTAATACTTCTTTAAATAAAGAATTGGTAAACAGAAGCCAACTGTTTTAAAAGAAATAAGCAAGCAGTTATCTAGTGCTGTTTAAATATTAGATGCCAAGTTATCAGTGGCTTAATGATAGCAAAAAATATAAGAAAATACAGAATGATTTAATAATTATATGCCAAAATTAAATCCATATTTAATAAAAGAAAATTACAAAAAAACAGAAGAAGTTAGATATTTAGATAATCAAGAATTAAAAACAAAAAAGCCAACTGAAAAAGACTTCTTTATTGGTTGTCCTGATGAAGATGGTGTTTCAATAGATGAAAAAGGAGTTTCGTTAAAAGCAAGAGACATTGGGTGCGATGGCTTTGAAGCGGGAGTGATTTCTGCTGAAACAAAAGCGGGAATTGATTTGGATAATAGAGTTAGCAGTGATCTTAGTTATTCAACAATTAGCAAGAAAGATGATGATGGAGAAGTTAATTTCTTGAAGAGTCTCATGCCGGAGGTGAAATAGGAGCAGGTACAGAAGGTGTTTCAGCCAAAGTTGGAATAGGAACTGATTTAGCAAGTGCAGAAGCAGAAACGGGGGTCAAAGCTAATGTTGGCATCAAAGCTGATACTGGATTTAAAGTTGAAGATGATGAGATGGAAGCTGACTTAGGAGGTTTTGGAGTTAAAGTTGGTAAAGAAACGGGTGTTGAAACTCCCTTTGGAGGTTTTTCCGTTGACTTAGAAAAATTAGGTAAAAAAATTTTTGAATAAAAGTCAGAGTCATATAGGAATTTAGAGCAAAAAAAATATGATTATTCAAGGAATTGCTATTTTGCAAATTATTATCTTTCCTATAATTCTGATACTAGGTACTATTGCCATTTTACTCCAATTTAAAAAAAGCGGCAAAATAGGGTCAACTAGTTTAATCACTTTAATAATTTTCTTAATAGTAGTCTTGTTTATATTAGGACCAATTACTGTAAAAAACATAAAAATCTTAACTAGTAAATGCCAAAGGTGTAAAGGTGAATTAGATAACAAAGATAAGAGAATATATGTTGGTGCTTTAACTCCTTGAAAAAAGGCTAATCTTGTTTGCAAAAATTGTAAAAGAAAATGGAATAAACATCAATAAAATTCAGAAACATTAATTTCTAAGAGAAGAGGGGAGTTCTCCAACTCCCCCTAATAATTGTGGTTCTCACTGAAATTATTAGTCCTTTTTGCCAAGTCTAGGAACCAAACAAAGCACAACACAGTTTTTTTACTATGGATATAGGCGGTGGTAAAACACTAAAATATATTATATTTTTATAGTATAAATACTATTAACCAAGAAAAAGAAGAAAACGCAAAGAAGTCTTTAAATTTCATTTTTGGGTTTCTTTTTTGATAGTGATGTCTATTAATGTGCTTTTGATTATCTTTGTCAAAGAATGAAGATACCATTTTCTTTTTTGAGATTATTCAATATTATCCTGACTGCTTTGTCTGTTTTTTTGCTCGCTTTATGCTTTTTTTGTAGCAGCAGGGATTAAGGGAGGAACAGGAGTTGTATTACGTTTACGATAAACGAACTTGCTCTTAAAGACAAAAAAAACTTTCCATAAAGCATAAAAGGAGGAGTATTTCCCCCCCTAATAATTGAGTTTTAAAATTGAATTATTAGTTTTTCATATCACTTCTACAAATATTTTTGGTAGGTTTTCTTTTTGATTTATAAACATCCCAAACCCTATATTTTCAGTTCACTACTTATCCACAAAAATTAGATTAACCTAATTTAATGGAAAATCATATTATTGACGCAAAAAGAATTTTTATTCTTCAATTATTCAACAGTCTAAAAAAAAGAATTACTCAACTAAATTTACAACCGGGTCAAACTATTAATATCTATCTTTGCGGTCCGACCGTTTACGACCATATTCATATTGGCAATTTACGACCAGTCATTATTTTTGATGTTTTACATCGTTTATTATTAGAACTGAATATTAAAGTTAACTATATCCAAAATATTACTGATATTGATGACAAAATAATTGCCAAAGCCGAAAAAGAAGAAAAGAGTGAAAAAGAAATTAGTGATTACTACACCCAGGCCTACTTGGCTAATTTAATTGATTACAATATTTTATCTCCTACTCATTTGCCATCAGTAACTAATTACATTCCTCAAATTCAAACTTTTATCGCCTCCTTAGTCAAAAACTACTCAGCCTATCGGCAAGCCGGAGAAGTATTTTTTCGGGTGGAGGAAAATTCCGAGTATGGCAAACTCTCCGGGCAAAATCTCAGCAAATTAAAGGAAGGAACGCGAGAAATTATTCAGGCCGATAAGGAAAGTAGCCGTGACTTTGTGCTGTGAAAAAAGACCGAAAAAGGTATTGTCTGAAATTCACCCTGAGGAACGGGAAGGCCGGGTTGACACACTGAGTGCGTTGTCTTTATTCAGGAATTTTTTGCTGGTCAAACTATTGATATCCATGGCGGGGGTAATGACTTATTGTTTCCCCATCACGAAAATGAAAGAATTCAGTATTTAGCCCATAATAATAAAGAATTAAGCCAAATTTGATTACATATTGCCCATATTAATTGCGGTAAAGAAAAAATGTCTAAATCGTTAGGCAATGTTATTTTGGCAAAGCATTTTTACGAAAAATATGGTGCTAATGTCTTTCGTTACTTAATCTTAAATACTCACTATAACCAAGTAATTAATCTCAGTGAAGAATTAATTCAGCAAGCCACTGATTATACTCAAAAAATTAAAAATTTACTCAAAAAACTGAATTTTTACTTATACACTGAGCAGATAAAAATTACAGAGCAAGAAGCACCGAAAGGGGAAGAAATAATTACTAGTTTACTGAATAATCTTAATACCGTTAAAGTTCTTTTTTTTTTAGAACAGACCATTAACTCACTTAATAAAATTATCGATCAAAGAGAAAGGGAGAGTTGAGAATTAACAAAAATGGTTAATGATTTTTATTTTATCCTTGACCTATTAGGGTTTAAATTTGCTTTACCAACTTATAATTTAGAGGTCAAATTACTAATTAAAAACTGGCAAGATTTAAGGAGCAAAGGAAATTACAAACAAGCTGACCAAATTAGAAAGCAACTGCAAGCACTGGATATTTTATAATTTTATATTT